CCGCTGGAGCTTGTCTACAGGTTGCGCGTGCGCTAAAATGGCAAAATTTGCGGCGCGGCGCTTGTTTAGCGCGGCTGTTGGAGATGCTCTTACTCTAACGTAATTCTGTTGAATCCATCACTTTTATCAACTTTCCCCATACTATGTTTCTTTGTACTGATGTGTTAGTTGCTGCAGCAAACTTGTTACAATATCCAGTTCCATTTAAGTTTGTTCTGTTTGGGAATGGTAGTTAGAATCCAAGCTATCCAGAGCTTATCAACAATATTCTCATGAATGTAAGTTTACTATCTTAAATCTACACCATTCATAGTTAATGTATCTGTACAAGTGAAATACTAATGATCTTTTATCTCTAGGACTTTGATGCCGTGGTAGGTGTGGCTCTATTTGATATCACACATGCATGCATAGTTTAGAATTTTTTGAATGAATGGCAGCCAAATCCATTAGAGCTGAATGTAGATTAAACCAAGACCAATAGCAGCGAGCTATCTACCTGCTTACAAGATGCATTACACATAGATTTTTGTGACTTGTTCAGTTCATTTCTTGAATTTGTATGTCAACATTATGCTGACGCATTACCCTCTAAGCATACTACAGGCACTTGTGTCTCTTGAATTTAACCACCTAAATGACCATAACAATAGGAGATTAATAAAGGTAATGAGCTCTTATATGGATCCTAAATGGATAATTCAGTCAAGTATGAGACAAGTTTTTAGCATGGCACGAGCAATAGGTGCAGCATATCACTGAAATTTGCAGAGCATACTATCGGAGCACCTTTTCGTTTGCAAAAGAAATTTTGGCATACAAAATTGTCAGTTTTATGCATGTCAAACAACAAACATTTTTGCAAGGACAACCAAATAGTGAATGTAGTTTGTTTACCATATTGTGCGCACTTCTATTTGCAAGATGATTGTTACTCATCCAAGCGGTATTACCAGTTCTATTACAGAGAGGTCATCACACACAAGGCATACCATTGGCTCTGGAAATCCAAGGTCATAATGAAAATCAAATTCTTTGGCTGGTTACTGCTCACAGATCGACTCAATACAATAAACATTCTCAAGAGACGACACTACAATATTGGCAACAACTTCAATTGCATCCTCTGTGATCAACCCATTGAAGAAGACATCACACACATGATTTTCACATGCCAATTTAGTAAACTATGTTGGAATACACTCGGGATTAGATGGTCAAGCCAGAACACACATTTGGATATGATTGAACAAGCAAAATCAAACTGGGCGCAACCCATGTTCATGACTGTCTTCTTATAGGCTGCATGGAGCATCTGGAAAGAGAGGAAATAAGTACTTCAGAGGGACCCAGCCCACAGTACATTCTTGGACACATAGACTCAAAGAAGACATGTCCTTATTACAGTATAGAGTCAAGGAGAAGAACAAAGACTTTATCTTCTCCCTAATCGCAACCCTTCCAAACTTGTAATATCTTGCTAGCATTCATAGCCTTTTCCCCTCCCCAACCCACAAAGTGGGATGGGTTTGTAAAATAGTAACATGTAAATTGTAATTTGGTGAGAGTAATATATATAACAGTGGGAGCCTCTCCCACTCTTCCAGGTTCTAAAAAAAAGATGATTGAAGACGCAGAGAAGGGTTTGATCACCCCTGGTGTAACGACACTAATCAAGATCTAGAAGGACCAGGGCGTCAAGCCCTCCAAATTTAAGGATACCATCGCGCAGGTGAGCGTCTATCTTGCGTCCCTCTCGTCGCTGGCTTTGTGCCATTCATGTGTTTCGTTTCTATATCTAGAACTGCTCTTTTGTTTGGGTTTGCCAAGGTTTGACATGCCTGTGGTGCTTAATATCTCTGTAGGCTTTGCTTGACCTTGAAAAAGTCAATCAGGAGCTCAAGAGTGACCTCGAGGACTTGTACATCAACACTGCAATGTAAGTCACCTTTCGCTACACCAGATCCTCTTGATCTATTGTGCCTGCCGATCTATTTGGCATCGGTGTACGAGAAACGAGATAAACCAGATGGATGTTGTTGGAACATGAAGGCCGTGGTGATCCATGTGTCGTAGTCTGCACAAGGCCTCTAAGAAGATCCACGACGAATTCTTTTGCTCTTTTCATTCTCCACTCTTCCTGTTTTAGATCAAATAGATCGGGTTCATTGGTAGATTAGTTTTTAGGCATCCGCAGTGTTGTGACGTTGATTGATTTCAGTCTGTAGTAACCAGTTCCTGCCTCTTGTTAGGTTTTTTGGCATGCAATTTGATATGCCTGTACTAACTACAGGAAAGGCTATGCCTTAGGTTTACCATTATGAATATTTCTGTATGTTAACTTTTAATTCATCAGAATATCGTCTTTTTTTAATTCATTGCAATCCCCTTTTTTGTTCATGTTAGTCATTTGATGCTTTTGCTTTATGCACAAAACATGTATGTGTACAAAGTATCAAATTGCATTTCACAAGGCAAGATAACAAAGAGTAAAATAGAAAACATGGTATTCTCTAACACAACAGCGTGATACATTTGGTCTATTGGTGCAGATCAAGAACAAAATACTACTTATTTGTAATAGTCCCAGTGGAAGTATAGTCAGGTATGTTATGCTGGGTCTTTTTACTATCTTAGCTAATTAGTTTGATATTTACTCTCTTTTGTACCTCTAAATATGGTATTCCCACAGAAGCTCAACAAAAACTACTTATGTTGTAATAGTTTCAACGTAATATGCATGAACTTCAGTGGCGAAGAGATATACATACCCCTTCAATTTTAAGTGAGCTTCTGCATGAAGCACCCCTCCCCCCATCGTTTTCTCATTGTGAAGGAAAGGGAGGTGGAAATAAGTTAAGCCCTTAGCCAAAAACGAGTTCTTTTGGGCTTCTGACTTATTTTCACAATAAGCAGCTCGAACCTCAAAAGAATTGGCCCTTAATTATATGTGATATCTGTAAATTGAGGTGTCTAACCGTGGTGTTCAACTTGTTTACACAGTAGCTTGCTAGGCTAGGACTTGGACCACCATGGCATCTCAAGGAAAACTAGCATTTGGAAAAACCACTTGTTGGTGTCAGTTTCAGTACTTTCTTCTATTCAAGTCTAGCAGTAGCTTGATTTTTTGAAATTGTTCCAACTCGTATTTATCTATTTTAAAAGAAAATTTAAAGCTGACTTGTGTTCTGTCAATTACTAATAAATTCATTTCTTCCACTGAATCAATCTGCACTTCATTCGGTTTACACATGTTTCCATCTTGCATACAACGACTTAACAAGTGAAGTATTGACATTTGTTATTACTAAACATGCACTCGTCTGCTGTAACCAAGCTGAGAGGTTCATAATGTAAAAAGTCAATAAGACAGAGCTGGACTCCTTGTAGATTTTTTTTCCTTGGCAATTCAAGTATTTGCCTGATTTGCCTGGCAAGAATAGTAGGATTATTCCAGGTTTGTTTTATTTCACTTGTCATCCCATGCTTTATCCCACTGTTAAGTGTAATGACTAACGATGTCCCTAGAGATTCTCTTGCTTAGGGTTTTCCTGCATGAGTTGCTACTGTTGTTTGTTTCAGATATTTAGTTTAAGATCTAAATTTCACCAATATATGTGTTTTTTTACGTTCTCTGACGTGTTTAGATGAACCCAATCACTTATGTTTATATGGATGCTATCTTCTTTTACTTATGATGTTTTTGAAAGCATTTCTGCGTAAGCAAAATGTGTCAAGGGCCAGTATGGACATATTTTCTAGAGCAAGGATGAGAATCACTCTATACACAACCACAAGGATGATTATTCAGGCGTTTCTAGGATGGTGGAACTTGAGGTCAAACCGCATTATGGCAAATACTTGCTGAAACATACATAAGTATGTGTTATTTCTTATAGGTTTGCACCAGAATCAAGCATTAGGACATTTGGAATTGGAATGATGAAAACACTTGTCTGAGCACATGTGATCCTCATAATAGCAAGTTTGTAATAAATTCTGGAACTCTTCGAGAGGTTGAAGTCAGCAAAGATAGCATGTTCGCATGTGTCAAATCACTTTTGTTGTACATAACTACCTTCAAGGATGAGCCTAGACCCACCGAGGTGCATAAGCTAGATATGTGCACAAATGAGCCTAGACCCACTAGTTTCCATCAAAAGTATGACAAGTTGCGGCCTATGTGGATATCAGAATGAGAAAGGTGCGGTACAAGTTTCACACATATCTCAAATGGTCATAATCTTTTTTTATGAAGAATCGTATGAGTAAGTTTCTACCAAATACCAACGGTTTTTCACAATTTCTCAAAACTAAGAAATACAATGTTCATGAAGTCTTACAAAGTGGGTTCACACATGGACCCGTATTCTCAAAACTCCCTCTCTGGACCCATCATAAAATTCTCCGGACCCAAAATTAGGTGCAACAACATCGATTCGGCTTGTAATTTAAGATATGTTTCCTTTTATTTTTCTAGAGAACATATGCTAAATTTGTCTTGACCAATAACATATAGTATATTCCTTTGTTTGACAATGTTTTTGGTAATGATGCGGATGCCCTTGATGATGGAGTAAGAGCATATCTTTATGTGGACCATTTCTTAGAGGTTGTCATATCAGCATTAGCGTGGTGGACACCAGAATGAGAGAATAGACCACACTATGTTGATAACACCAACGAGTAAGAGAAAAAAAAAGAACCAAAATATTGATTGTGGGAAACTTTATATTTCTTCACAAACTCGTTGTGCAATCCTACAAACCCGCAGAAATTTACAGTTTTAGTAACAAATTGAGTAAATTATAGGTCATTATGAGCTTCGTACCCACCTTCTGCTCAAGGAGCATATGGAGGAAGAATCTGGTTCTGTTGCACAATATCTAGTTGAGCATTTTATCGATACTATTCACTACTTCAATACAGTCATAGAACATTGGGATGACAGATGACTATTAGCCACTTAACCAAACCACGCATATTCTCATCTATAGTTTATGCTGATCTGCTCGTCCTTTGGAACTAATATTGTATATATATGTGCAGCCATATGGACTGTGGGTCTGTGCGATTGTCACTACAAGCGGAGAAGCTCACACTCTTGCACAGTTTCAATCTCGATCTGCATGTCTGCCTTTCCGGGCGACGACATGGGTGCTACATTGGCCGATGAGAAGCCCCACGTGGTGTGCGTGCCTTTCCCGTCGCAGGGGCACATAACGCCGATGATGAAGCTGGCTAAGGTCCTTCACCGCAAGGGCTTCCACATCACCTTCGTCAACACTGAGTACAACCAACGCCGCCTCGTCCGCTCCCGCGGCCCTGACGCCATAACCGGCCTCCCGGACTTCCGCTTCGCCACCATTCCGGACGGCATGCCCTTGTCTGACGCCGATGCCACGCAAGACCCGGAATCCCTTTGCTATTCCACCATGACCACCTGCCTCCCCCACCTCAAGAACCTGCTCCATGACCTCAACAATAAATCCGGGACGCCGCTGGTAAGGTGCGTCGTGGCGGACGGCCTCATGAGCCTTAGCGTTGATGCTGCGGTGGAGATCGGCGTTCCTTGCGCGCTGTTCTGGACTGCCAGCGCCTGCGGCTACATGGGCTACCACAACTTTAGGTTTCTCATAGATGAGGGCCTTACTCCTCTCAAAGGTATGTATGCATGTATGACAAACTTCTTGAAGTTGAACAAACATATCCTAAGTCTGTAACAACCATTGTTGCATGTGTAATATTCGGTTTTGAGCAGATAAAGAGCAGGTGACAAACGGGTACATGGACACGCCCGTGACACATGCTTGTGGTATGAGCAAGCACATGCGTCTCCGAGACTTCCCGTCTTTCATCCGCACCACGAACCGGGGCGACGTCCTGCTCAACTTCATGATACACCAGCTAGAGCAGTCCAGCCGCGCGACCGCCATTATTGTTAACACCTTTGACGAGCTAGAGCAGCCGGCATTGGACGCTATGTGCACCATGCTTCCCCTACCAATCTACACTATCGGCCCGCTAAACTTCCTCACCGAGCAGCTGGTCCCCAATGGTGACGGCAGCGATACACTCGCCCTGATATGCCCCAACCTCTGGAGAGAAGACCGGTCTTGCCTTGAGTGGCTACAAGGCAGGGAGCCTCAGTCCGTGGTGTACATCAACTTTGGTAGCATCACCACCATGTCCAGCCAAGAGCTCCTGGAGTTCGCATGGGGGCTGGCCAACTGCGGCTATGACTTCCTGTGGATCGTGAGAAATGACCTCGTAAAGGGCGATGTCGCCATGCTGCCTCCCGAGTTCCTTGAGGTGACAAAGGGCAGGTGCCTCCTGGCGAGCTGGTGCGACCAGGAGGCGGTGCTGCATCACGAGGCGGTGGGCGCGTTCCTGATGCACTGTGGGTGGAACTCCATGATGGAGGGGCTCAGTGCAGGGGTGCCAATGTTGTGTTGGCCCTTCTTCGCGGAGCAGCAAACCAATTCCCGCTACGCGTGCGTGGAGTGGGGCGTCGGGATGGAGGTTGGCAAGGACGTGCGCCGAGAGGTGGTCGAGGCAAGGATACGAGAAGTGATGGGAGTAGGAGAGGTAGGGAGGGAGATGAGGCGGAAGGCGGTGGAGTGGAGCAAGATTGCCGTTCGCGCAACCGCACAACCGGGTGGTAGGTCGTTGGCCAACCTCTCGAGTCTGCTCGAGGATATACTATTGAGTGCGGTTGAAAATGCTGGGTAGAATTGAGATGCATGCAGATCCAACTGACAGAATATCAAATGCGGATTTGAGTTTCTGCATGGACTGATTATCCAATAAGGCTATATTTGCCTTGTTTATTTGGGTCGTGGCCGTGTCATCAGCTTGCCATTGTGGGTTGCTACCTCTATCTCGGTTTAGAAATCGAGCACGATCTGCCCCATGAAATATATCTTTAGATTCGCTGTCGAATGCAGTTCATAAACATGTATTTCTTGTGTCATATTACACATCTTTGGTTATTCAAACTGAAGACAGAAACATTTGTTCCCGACTTACAAACCTGGATTGAGAGATTAGTTGGTTCTGCTAGAGAAACTACTGTTTCGCCCCATCATATGTGTTTGTCTACATTACCATGCATACTATTACTTATGAAACTTTTTTATGGGAAAAACTTTCTATCTATCCTTCAAACATCATGGCACTGAGAACAAGCTGAAGGCACGCCGCCTACAAAAACACAAGAAATAAAAAAAACTACATCCATGTCCGTTAACCACCTAGCGACGACTATAAGCATTGGAGCGAGCCGAAGGCGCGCCACCGTCATCCTCCTTCCCTCACCGGAGCCAGAGAAACCTTGTTGTAGTAGACACTCATTGTGCTAAGGCCCTAAATAATCAGCACACCAGAACAACAACTATTGCCAATGAAGAGAAGCGTAGACTAGAAGGATCCAACCTGTAGACACATGAGCACATATAAATGGAAACCGGGTCCACGTAGATCCACCGACGACAAACTTCTATCGAATCCCATGAGATTGCCAGAGACACACCTTCACACGCCCTCCGACAACGCGAGACGCACCGCCGAAACAAGGGCTAGGCGGGGAGAACCTTATACATTCTTTAGGGAGCTGTTGCCGTGTCACCTTCCTAAGCAGGACACAAATCCTAAACAGATTAAAAACACCTAAGAACGAAGCATGAGCTCTCCTACCAGCAAGGGTCGAGATCCACGCGCCTCCATGGCCATAAGGCCACAGAAGACGAGGCAGATCGTTACATCGTATTTCTAGTTTTTAAAATTATGAAAAGAATCACAGACGTAGGTGTCGAATAGAAACTTACCAAGGTATTTTTTTCATAAAAAGATGTATGACATGTTGTGGCCTATGTGGAAATCGGAATAAGGAACGGTGCAAGTTTTACACATATCCAAACGGTCATAACTTTTTTATGAAAAATTATATGAGTAAGCTTCTAAGTACCAAACACCAATGCTTTTTTTCCATAACATTTTGAAATTAAGAAATACGATTTTCATCGAGTATCAAAAAGTGGATTCTTTAGGCCCTGTTTGTTTTAGCTTCGCTTAGATTTTAATCATCTGTGGATTTGGTGGAGAAGCTGCTTCACGAAGTACACTTTGAGGTGCCTCAGAAAATTGCACTAAAAATTGCCTAAATCCAGATTCAGCTTCACAGGCAAAGCTGATTCCAAATAGCTGTTTGTTTCAGATTCCAGATTTGGCTTCTCCGAGACAAACAGGGCCTTAATATTACTCCCTCTTTTCCATAATGTAGTGCATATTTTTTTTTGAAAAGTCAAAATTTGCAAACTTTGAGCAATTTTATATAGAAAACTATTTATATCTATGATACCAAATATGTAAAATATGAAACTACATCTTATGATGAATCTAATGATATATTTTTGGCCTTCAAGATGTAAATATTTTTTTCCATAAACTTGGTCAAAGTTTGTTAGGTTTGACTTTAGAAAAAACTATATGCACTACATTATGGAAGGGAGGGAGTATTATTTTTGCGAAAGGGGCCAATACCATATATTAAGTATGACAGGTCCTTACAAATACACTCATACGGAAAACTAAAGTTACATTCAAATCCTTAGGGTGCCAAAGTATTCTTCCATCTACATCCACCGGCGGCGCGCTATGAGCATAGCTCGCTGCCGACTCTGGGACTCAGCCTTAGTGGAGCAAACTTTTCAAGCAAATCGCCGCCTTAAAGAAGAAAACGCCGATAAGGTCTATAGAAACTTCGAAGACCACAAAAGTCGGTCGAATTTAGATGGATCAACCAAAAACTTAAACCGACTGGATCCCGAAAGACCCATCGGAGACACGACCTCACACACGCTCCACCGGCGATAAGCACACCAACAGGGGGCAGGGAAAGAGTGGTGAGACTATTATCTCTACACTAGGGCAATGTCGTCGCCTCGCTGCCCAAACTAAACACAGATATTCCCAAAGAAAACAAGAAGAAAAATCAACCATGTCATTGCATGCCAGGTCCGATATTGATATAGAGCTCACTGCCGTTTTAAACCATGCACCGACGCCATCTTCTCCGATGACCTAGCAGGCAAGTCCTCCGTTGAAGATTGCGGCGCTGCAACACCAGGCCACATGGTAACTTTTTTTTATGAAAAGTATATGAGTAAGCTTCTAGTACCAAATACAAATGATTCAAAATTAAGAGATATAATTTCATTAAGTATCAAAAAGTTGGCTCACATGGACCCATATTCTAGAAACTCCTTGTCGGGAACGATCATGAAAATCGGCCATTTGACTGCCTAATGATATTATGCACAACAACATTGAACCAGCTTTTAGTTTAAGATGCGTTTCCTTTCATTTATCTAGAGAACATATGTTGAATTTGTCTTGACCAATAGCATATAGTATAGGGTTAATTATCCTTTAGCCCTCAGTGGTGTCCATGTGCTCAGTTTTTCCCTCAGATACGAATTGTGCTTAGTTTTGCCCCTACTCCATGCGCAGCTACTATGACGAGGCCAAACGGCCAGATTTTAGTCTATTCTGTCCACCGGCGTTAGTGGTTATGGGTCCGGAGCTTACACGTGGGACCGCGTGGACATGGGTCCGGAGCTGACATGTGGGCATGTGCAACAAAATCCCCAAATCATTCGTAGGGTTCTAGCCGGCCAAATCGACGCCCGCTCTGCCCATCAGTCGGCCGGCCGTCCTGCGCTGCCGCCGCCACCTGCGCTGCAGCCAACACGTGATCCCGCCACCTGCGCCGCAGCCAACATGTGCCCCGCCACCTGCTGCACGGCCTGCTCCGCCGCTACCGTCCTGCGCCGATGCTCCACCGCTACCTGTTCCGCCCGCCACCTTCCTGCGACGCCATGGGTGGGGCGCCCGCCACCTGCTCGACCCGCGGCGCGGCCTCCTTCCGTGTGCCCGGCTGGAGCGCTCAAAGGTGGGGGGCTGGTGGAGCTGTTTGAACAAGGAGGAAGAACCCCAGGGCGAAGTGGAGAGCAGCGGCGACCCTGGAGTATTTGGCGAGGCAGGCATTGGGCCGGAGATCCGCCGCGTCCACGCCTCCTGTTTAGATTGAGCTTAGTTGTGCATTTGAACAGTCGATTCGAGTAGGTTTGCCCGATTAGTGTGATGATTGCGTCTCTGTTTTTCGTCGGTTAGGATGGAGTTGCGGTTTGCTTTCTTGGTGCACATTAGAAGGGATCGGTACATGTCATTAGAAGGGATCGGTACATGTTCAATGCAAAGAATAAGAAGAAATTCTAAGGAGGTTTCGATTATCGGTTGCCAATGGCTAGTAATTGGAGTTTCAGACAATTTGGGGAGGTAATTTGTAGCCAATATCCTTGGGGTTTGCTTGATGAAGTGGTATACAAATACTATGATGGGGAAAAGAAATGGGTGACAGTTAGTAATGATGAAGAGCTGGCTACCATGTTTGCTAGGAATAAAGAGAAAGAGAATTTTCATGTGAAGCTGCAAATTGATATGCTTGAGCAGGCATTTGGACCTAGGATGGCGGGTGCAACATCTTGGGGAGAACCAAGTCGTCGTAATGGCATCTCTAGCCAGAACAGTTCAGTTAGTGCACGGCAACGTGGTGGCTCGACAAGTGTGGGCACCAGCAGTAGGGTCCCCCTTGAAGTGGAGCCTGATGAATACAATTCTGGGGTTGATGAAGAGAAGCTATATTATGATGTTATTCAGAATTTACGACGGGCACCTCAAGCTAAAAACCAAGATGAGGTTCACAATGCAGTCCGATGTCGTGGTGGGTGAGGATGAAGACCTTGCAGCTGTTGAATGGGACCCTTTGAACCCTCATATGGAAGAAGGTAACATTTTTGCATCCATGACTGAGTGTAGAAATGCACTTGTGACATACTGCATCAAGATAGAACGTACTTTCAAAGATGACAAGAGCTATCAAGTACGTTACAGAGTGCACTGTCCGACTGAGGGTTGTCCATGGAGGATGCTCGCATCTAAAATGTGAAATAGCACAAATGTTTAGGTCAAAGTGAACCCTTTTAAGCACACATGCCAGGAATCAATCCTTCGGAAGGATACAATTAGTAGAGCCAAGTCAATATGGGTGGCAGAAGAAGTAAAGAAGTGGGTGAAAGAAAACCAGCAAGTGGTCCAAAGCAATTACAGAAGAACATCAAAGACAAGTTCAAGATAGATTTACCATACATGAGGTTGTTCAATGGTAAACAACATGCTATGGATTCTATTTATGGTAACTGGCAGGAAAGTTTTCAATTGTTGTATTCATTCAAAGGTAAAGTGGAGAGGACCAGCCAAGGTAGTATTGTAGATATTGACCACCACACCATGGAGTACACATTCAGGTGAGTGACAAAGACCAAGGAATGCTTTAGGAGGGTTTTTGTCTGCTTTGAGGCTTGTCGCCGGGGTTTCTTGGCAGGCTGCAGGCTTTATTTGGCTATTGATGCCACTTTTCTCACAGGGAGGTTTAAAGGACAGTTAGTAGCGGCTTGTGCAGTTGATGCACACAGTTTTGTATTTCCAGTTGTGTACTGTGTGCTAGAGACAGAGTTAGAGGAGAGTTGGACTTGGTTTTTGCATAATCTACGCCGGGCTATTGCACATCCCAATGGGTTGGTCATTCATACAGATGCCTGTAAAGGTTTAGAAGTGGTCGTGGATAATATGTTCCCTGGAGTAGAGCATAGGGAATGCATGCGTCATCTTGC